TAATACTTGCTCAAAAGTTGAAGAGAAGAAAGAGATCAAACAAATAAGGTACTTGATGATGTTGTCCCATGATCCTGGATCAATTGACGGCAAGAAAAATGCTGAAGTTTGCTTGAAAACTGGTACATTCATTCCGTACGGTGTCTAAGAAAACAAATCTCGGATGGCCTTCAAAAAGAACAAATGAAGCCAACATTTTGTTCATCTTGCTGCCATCTGTAGAAAACCATATGAAAACTTTTCGCAGTCTCTTTATAATCGCAGAATTATGGGTTATAAGAAGCGGGATGAGGAAGATCAGTGAAGGGGACAATTCCATTATACAGTCTCCGAAGCAATGAGTTGCCAATGACTCAATATTATTCTTATTGCAATTTAAAAATCAATAGGCAACTCTGCAAGAACAAGTAGCCTCATAGCTAAGGTCTATAACCACTAATAAACGAAGAACGATTCTCCGTTGAATCTTTCTTAAATTCTTTTGTTAACCTCTTGGCAAGAACATGTCCCCAAGCCGACAGACCGTAAGAAATGAAAGGTACATACACTGCTTATCATGTTCTTAACATCGTAGCTTACTCCAAAAGTATTTTTGGCAATTCGGTGAAAGCCATTAATAATTTTTTCACATTTAGCAGAAAGGATAGATCCTCCATTGAAATATACTTTTGTCACTTTATTAGTTTGCAACCTAAAACTGTTTCTTCGCGTTGCTGTAATCCCTCAATATCTTGTACTGAAGCATCTCGGGAGATTTGGTTCCGAATATAAAGGTGGCCAGACTTTAGAAATGACATCTCCGCTTAACGCAATCAGCGAATGCTTAGCGAGGTGATTACTATTTAGAGAATTCTATTTTAATTTACAGAGCACACAAACACAAGTTTCAATAACAGAGTGTTTAGCGCCGTTGCATAATCTTATGTGTACGGAAACAGATGTTTTGTTTAATAACCAGGCTGAGAATTTCCATCAATAAAAATGTTTTATTGGTCCATTGATAATTATAAATATAAAATCATAGCATAAGAATTAGCTAAGACAAATAAAACAAATTATCAGTTTTTGGTTACTTTTTGTGATAAGTATCGTGAAATATTCTTTAAAGTGTTGCATTATAGTACTAAACCAGATATGATTTCTTGCCAACCGCTCACTGGTGGTAACTTGTCTTGGGCTCGAGCCCAAATGAACGGGCTGGTCATATGGTTTGTTTTATGGTTTTGCCGACGCGCAACGCAAATACCAGACAGTTTTCATCAGCAAGTGCCCCACCGGTGGCCGAGTAATTAAGATTGTTGAATCCTGGTAGATCGATTTGGGCTCTAATACACGGGAATTGGCTGTCTGAGTGGTTGGTTTTCGTGGCTTTTCCAATTTGTGAAGCGAATGTGAGCCAGAATCCCTTTAGGAAAACCTCCAAAAAGGCACCACTTTTCTTAGACAGATAGTCTTCGTGATTTGCCATATTTAAGTAATTAATCATAACCATTGACTTCATCACTGCTGTTATTTAACATAAGTGTGATATTTAACGGAACTTCGAAGTAAGCGAAATGTAAAATGTAATTTTGACATGCCTAATAGTGTAACTATCTTTTAAGTACTTATTTTCTTCATCATGATATCATGATAGGGTAAGAGCGGCGATTAATTTAGCGTTCCTTTTTAGTAGTGAGAATCAGGTGGAAATTAGTACCCGTGTAACTTGACTGTGGTTCTGCTGTAATTTAAATGAAAATTCGATAAAAATATCTTATTCTTTGAACATTTTTAGGTGAGAAATACGAGAGCGTATTCATGAACGAAAATTGCTCTTTGCATTCTGCAAGAGTTTGAGAATGTTAAACATTCATACTCTTTGCTTAGATGTTTAAATGAAAACGCATTGTAAGTTATTTTTAGTCTTAAAAGATATTTGTGCGATATGCAGCCTAACCTGAATATATCTTACATGTGTATTTGGAATTCAAATTTTCCCTCTAAATGTCTGAACACAATTCATTGAGATTAAATTAAAGAAATAAACTAATCACGCCATTTTGAGACATACTGAAAACCAATTAACAACTTTCTAAAGATTATTTTTTGAAGGGGAGGGGGAAGAAAGCCTTCTCTAAAACCTTTTTTTTTTTTAAATGTAACTCCTGGTGACACGCTGCCACAGAAAACATTAAGTATTGTTTTGCATAAAGCAAAGAAATAAACTAATTCTGTTAGAAGAGTGTCCACAATTTCAGAAATTAAGTTGGATTTGTATTTTATTGCTTCGACACTAAAAATTAAAGCAATAGTAGGGAATTTTAAAAGCAATCGATAGTGATCTATAAATAGTAAACTACTTGAAATTATTCAAATTTTGATAAAATGTTAGCAATCTGGATATAAAAGAAATAATCAAACAGTGATAGTAAGCAGAAGATAACAGCAAAGCTAACAAGTATTATTAACGTGCAGTTTTCAAAATTTGCACTTCTGGCCCTTTCTACAAGACTCAAATATTCGCGTAGTATGCTTAAGATCATACCAAAATCATAATTGTAGTCTTAAACATCCATTTCTTGGTCATGGGAGATCAAAATATATACTTTTTGAATTTGAACAAAATACTCCGTTTAGAAATTAGGAAGTGATATACGATTTTGAATAGAAGAACCAAAACTGATGCTGAAAAACTGGTTTCGAGTTTCTCACGTATAGCGAGAGTAACCAAGATTAAAAATTTCTCATCTCCGTTAAATCTCATTTGGCATTAAATAGTTTAGAGAGATCTCAAGAATTACGATTGAAATGGAATTATTGAAAATTCTTATTTCATTCTTTAGAAGTTTAGTTGCAATAATCCTTTGAAAGTCACAACAATTTACTACATTAACATGGGATAAACAAGAATACGATCAAATCAAATGCCGAGATATTACCTTACTTTGGAAAAGTTTCTCCGATTCAGTACTTGGCTTTTATGTACATTTATAAATAGATCGCTAAATAAGCACAACAGGCTATTATTAGCTTTCTAATTGTGAAGCACAACAGGCTTTATTAGCTTTTCAATTGTAAAAAGGAAATATAAAGTGCTTACGAAATGCATAAATATTTTTCCTTTGGAAATACGTTAATTCTAATGGTTGCTTTTTAACATCTCTTCAGAGGCATTTTTCGGAAACGATCAGAACCATATTTCATTGAGCCGTTTAACATTGAAAGCTTTGTTCAAGGTGAACCACACGAGGTAAACTAATATATTACATCAGAAAAATGAAGAGGGAGGAGAAACATACTTACATAGCCAAAGCCTTATGCAAAAGTCGAATCTGAAATCATCTCCGGCTCTGTTCGGCAAGCCTTCACTGAACATAATACCTTCAAGCAACAATTAAGTCCGATTGTTTCAGCTACTTATTTTGCGCATACTTTTATCTAACTCTCTAACAGCTCCATCTTAGGCATAAAAGTTATCGCCGTTTGGCAGTGGATATTTTCCGGTTCTTTATTCGAAATATTAAAATGAAACTAGACACATTTTGTTACACACATTCCTTAAAATATTCAACGACTACATAAAGGAGTATGCAAGAAAGTAGAGATCAGATGGTAGTCTTAACTCTCAAGAAATTGCATTAAACAGATTCATTAAAAACATTTTTCTTTATATATGAATATTTCAGAGGAATATCTGAATTACTTGAATTTTACTTTGCGTTAAATATTTTCGAATGAAATACAATTGGGTTTTTATTAAAGTGCGAATGATGAATTTTTACACAATGGAAATGCTTCGATCTTTGATTTATCTTTAGAGGCAAAGAAAGTTTCTAATCAGACAATTGGGATGAATTTTTACGATTTACAGACATTTAATTTCAAAGAATTTAAACAGACAATTTTGTAGAAATAAAATATCTGGAATACAATTTAATTACCACTAAATTTTAATTCGGTAATGAGAAAAAGGTCAGTAAAATTATTTGGTTTTTCAATAGGTGGAGGACCCACCAATAGGTGGTCAGCCCACCAGCGGTGAAGCGGTAAAGTCGCTGAACACTAGTAGCTCGGTCCAGGTTTCGAATCCAGGGGAACGGGCTAGCTGCATGGGAGGTTTCGTGGTGTTTCTCATGTGTACAGTGTACACAAGAAAGTGAACAGTCTAATTAAATCTCTTGCTTAAAGCAGTATTATTTTACTTGATGTGTAGGCTATACTTACGATAATCAGAACCAAATGCACGGTATTCAACTGTTGTGTGAATACGAAATTATTTTTCTTCATAGTCTCGTAAATTTGATTACAGATAAGAATTTTTTCTTTCAGATTAACACCATCTTCAGTAGCTTCTGGTATTGAAAATTATGTATAATTATGAAAGTAACAAGGATAAAAATTAGTTCAACTTATTTGAGATAAGTTTACAGTATGAATAGGAACACTTAACATATGTAACAAATGACCCAGTTCAGGCTAGATGTTCAAATTTTTATCGAGTATTTATCGTTTCTTATAAAATAAGTAATGATATATTTAACTTGCAAATTTGGTTGACGTCGTGTGTATATAAAACTTTAGATGAATCGTCGTTAGCTACATCATATACGTGTTAGATTTCGAAAATGATTAAATACCCGCTCAAGAAATTTATCTTAAAAACTTATGTCAAAACAGAATCTCTTGGATGATTAACATCAAGCCCTTCCCTTTCTACCAAGTGTGCTTATATCATTACAAAATATGGAAGAACATTTTATGAAGTAGTTTAAATCCTAGGTGAGATGTTCAGATTTTACTAGGGTAACAGTAACGAAACTTTCATATAGTAGGGATGTGTAGAAAATTTTAGAATTCCCCAAGCCAGAAATTTTAGTTACGCGCGTTTTGTTTTTCTGAACTCTGGAGAAACCAAACAATCATTAAATAGATATTCCATTTATGGCCAAAATATTAAAGTTTACATGCCAATCCAACATCACTGATTTGTGTACGAAAATGTTTTAAATTAGACACAGTTCATTTAGTTTTTTATTAAAACTTCTCGAAGTAAAAACAAAGTTGCGCAGTTCATAAAAGCATTTGTCAAAATAAGTCAAAGTTTTTCTTTACAAACAATATTAACTGAAAACCATAAACATCCTTATATTACATCCAGGTAGAATATCTTTGTATCTCAACCCTATGGTACTAGTCTCTTCTGAATTCCTAGTATGCTTCAAGAAATATCATTTCAAAGTCTTGAGAAAGCGTAAAGCCATACACCGACTGCCACTGAAACGACGGAAGCTCGTAGAAAAATAAGAGAAAGATTTGCGTTTTCAGGATTCCATGTCCAGAAATGAGCCAGGAGAAGACAGCATCCGAAAAGGAAAATAATCGTACAAACCAAGTCTTTTTCAAGCGTACAAGCACACATTTTGAAGCTGAACATGCTGAAAGAAAATGATTATGATTTACTTTTGGACAACAGCAGCAGCATATTACAGACAGTATTACAAATTATTGCTGCTGGTAAAATAATTGTATTTTGATATTACCGACAGTAATATCAAAATTTTAAAAGTCATAGCAAGAGATCATTAGTAGGATGTAAAAAGACTTGTGACGAAAAGTTTCACATTTTGTTCGTAAAATGCTCTTCAAAATATTATGTAAACACCATTGAGGAGAATCCTTAGCCTCTCATTAGAATTGAGAGTTGCACGTAAGTAAACTGTTGGAATAAGCCCCAGCTTCTAAGCTACCTCTTTATAGAATTATAAATGCATTAGTTACGTAATATTTGGTTTTCGTAGTAATGATGTTAAGTGCCATATTTTGTTCAACTTGAATTGAGTTGCTTAAAGCAGTTTAAAATACCTTTCAAATACAAGTGACATTCCTATAATAATAATTTAAAGTAAAACAGGTTCATAGTTTGACGTTTTACTCTTGGAATGTTTAATAAAAGAATTAGGAAAAATATTAAAAATTCTTCAGTTGTTGATAGAATTTAAGTAGGTTTAAATAAAGAAACTTTAAATCGATTACCTTTCTTACTGTGCGTGAAATGAAGTGCTATTATATAATTTTCAACAAAATTTTTCATTCCACATGCGATTTAGACTTTTCGTCTTGCATACACCCCACTACAAAATAAAGATCATTGCATCTGTACAGATTTATATCCAATGAGAAATTAACTTTACGTTAATGATCGAAGCATGCTGGAAGAAAAGAATTTTGTAAAGGATTCGGTCCAATAGCGGCCGAGGAGCAAGATCGTCAAACTTCGACACTAATCCCGGCGAGCGGGCTGGCTGCATAGAAGTTTCGTAGTCTTTCCTATCTGCAACGTCAATAACAGCCAAAATAATTAGTTTACCTTAAGAAATCCTCCATAAAGGCATTGATTGCTTTAAGCAGACAGCCCTTGTATGCTTAGCTATTGTCCAAATTAAACTTAACCTACCCTGTTACCGGATTTATTATCAAATATTAGGTGATTTGAGATGCAGAATATTTAGAAATTTCTTTCTAAAAAATCTTGGTTAATCTTTGGATTATGGTAACTTAGCAATTTTTTGGCGAAAATTTGGCGACCAATCCTGTTACAGCAATTTGCTAGCTTTTGTTTGGACGCCATTTTGTTTTCACGAAGTAAAGTTTTTGTTTTTTTTTTTTTTTTTTTTTTCCCCGACTCAACATTTTTTTCCCCAACAATCTGCTAGCCGAATTACGCTTATGCTAGAACTTTTATGTAACAAAAGTGCTTAATCATGACGAAGATTAGGTGCGAAATTGGGAGAAAGTGCAGAATCGCAAACTGCTTGCCGCTTTTTTAAGAATTCCACATACACGGTATCCATGTACACGTCGACCTATCTTCACTTAAAAAAACATCCCAGAATTGCACAAAAACGGCATTGCGCACACTCTTGACTTTATCCATGTACACTGCTAAAGTCCTAGCTAGTAACCTTTATCGCCTTACCAAAATGTCGCCAAACTACCTGTTACCATATTCCAAAGATTAGCCAAAATCTTAATAGATCCTAGGATAAAGCCTAAAGCTCTGGAAAATGATACAGAAGGATTTAATTTATTGCAATTCATTCAAACACCAAGAAAAATGCCTATTAACAATCGGGACATCAAAAACATCCTATTTGCCCATAAAATAATTAAGAAAATGCAGGTACAGATAGCGATTATGGCTAATTACTCCAGAATGTTTTACATATTATGTAGCAATCTACTGCTCTCACCTCTAGCAGACTCAAAGTTCTCGCATAGTGACTACACGATAGTAATGTTCAATCCTCTAATATAATAGTAACTGCGTTATACAGGGAGAAATATATGTTACCGCATGTATTTCGACAACATATTGAAGTTAGAACTTGCAGATTTACTTTTAGCTTTTAAGAACCAAATATGTCAAATTCGAGTTATGCTTTTCTGGAATAAATTACGTTAATCGAAATCTAAAAAACTGATTTTCGTGTTCATTTTTATATGAAGTATTAAACTGCTTAGATTTTTGTTATAAATTATAATTTAGGCTAGTTAAGACATTCGTTATATTATTTATCATCAGTTTTAAATTCACATGCACTAAATTTCAGAAACATACAAGAAATATTTAAAGATACGAAAAATCAAGTTTACAATCACCTCTTACCATAAAACAAATTCTTTTAAATGAAAGCTTCAGCGGCTCGTTCTTAGAAGCAGATAATACAAATCAAGTCTTGAAATTTCGGTAATCCTATATATATGCAGTAATCAGTTCGTAGTAGTTACGATAGTTTCACACATATAGTTTGCATATGCTTCTGTTTGGTTCCCGATCAGATTACGTCATACCGATCAGATTACGTCATAAGTTTACGATCATCACAATATATCACTACAGATTTAATACCTGTCGGTTAACAGAGCGCCACTTGGCGCCAAACGTGAATTTTGGTCTGAAATTGACTAAGTATACGTTGGTTTGGTTTATTTGATGGAAAATCAGTATTCAATCTAAGGAATGGAAAATTCTGCTGGTTAGGAAATATCGCAAAATGACAGCTATCACGAAAGATGTAAGGCTCTTCGGTATCCTGGTTCACAGAGTGGACAGCGCCAGTTATCTGGTGGGGGGGGTTATACTATTTAATATGTCCTTCATCTGGTCCACTCCCATCGCCAAAGTGTGGGAAAAGCATATAGAATAATGTTCAAACGGTACTTACGGAAAATCCCGTCGACCAATTTTGCCTGTTAAAAAAAAGACGCCATACTGCGCGATTTTTCGCCAGAAATGGAAAAGTCTTCTTCAAACACGCTGGGTTTGGTGTAACCTTGATTACACTTGTTAGTTATTATTCTTGAGTAAAGACTCCTTTTCCGCCCTCTATCACGTCATACCTCAAAGTTGACGCGCAAGCTTTCGGGGGGGGGAGAAGATTAAAATTTGAGACATGCCTACTACAGAAGAGCATGCTGTTGAATATTTCCAAAGTTTTGGAATCTTACCGGCCTAAAAAAATGTGTTAATGGCCAGTGAAAAACCCAGCGAAAATGATTGCTTTTACGGTATAGCTCCTTAATAAAAAATGATGGGAATTTTTAATGAAAAATTAAATATAAATAAAAGATAATGTAATAAATTTGAAAGAAAAATAAGAATATCATGTTTTTTTATTGTATTTAGTAAATGTTTTTTTTTTTTTTTTTTTTTTTTTTTTTTGGTTGGCGCGATTGGCGGCGTCTCTTGTGGTCTACGGGATTTTCTGTAAGTACCGTTCAAACTTTTCTCACTGCTTAAAAATGATCAACTGTCTATTAATTTGAAGAGAAAAATCTATATCGCATCTATTAGGCCTATTATTACGTATGTGTGTCTCGCCTGGATTACTGCCAGTGAGAAAGACTACAAAAAACTTCAGGTGTTGCAAAATAAAGCTCTTAGAATTATCACAGGTGCTCCGTATTTTATAAGAAACAGAATTTTGCACTCTGATTTAAAAATAGATTTAGTCAAAGATTTCACCACACGGGTTAATGGAAGATTTTATGAGCAAACTGTAAGAAATAACCCAGGAAATTTTGCAAAAATCTTAAAGTACAACATTCTAACATTCTAGAGCAGTGGTCGGCAAAGTGTGGCTCCAGAGCCGCATGTGGCTCTTTGGCTCCTTAAGTGCGGCTGTAGTACAAATATCCACGGATGGCGCAATAATATTTTCATTTAAAAAAAAACTTGGTAAGAAAAAATTACATTTTATTTTGATAAATTAAAATTCTTCTATATATCGAGAACATGTATAATTTTTTGTTTGAGTAAAAAGATAGATAGGTAATTAAAATTTTATATTGTTGTAAAAATACGTAACGAACATCGAGTTTAATTTTATGAGTTTTCGTAAACGTAAACATAAACCATGTACAAGCTACCGGCATGCGCGTGCATGCTTCTTATAAAGTAGTGAAGGTACAAATTGACATCATAGGGCAGCAGTTGCAGTGTTAACAGTTTTGTCTGATCTACCGTGTTTGCCGTTGTCCTGTATAACTAAAAAGTTGTTGTATTTTTTAATCTAGCCGCACATCCCCTTACAGGTATTTTTATACGATTTATTACACCTGCTATGTATGTTTGTGGTTCGGGTGCAAAATTTGTAATCGATTTTTCGATAACTTCTGTTTGTCCAAATGTTGGACGTTTTCTTCCATTTTTGGTCATATTAAAAGTTTTGTTATTCTGATGATGGAAAAAAATTATTTTTTTTCTTTTTAGTGCAGTTACATATATTAATAAATTGTATTTTTTAAAAAGATTTTTATTAAATTTTTATTTTCATCAATTTAATAATGATAATAGTTTTGCACTGGTGGCTTTAGAAAAACAGTGTATTTGGAATATTTTTATAGGCAACCCAATTAATATGGCTTCCAAAAAAAAGCAAAAAAAAAAAAAAAAAAAAAAAAAAAAAAAAAAAAAACGGAAGATGAGCACCGCGAATTTAAAGTTGAGTGGACCGAAGAATTTTGCGTTTATTCAAAACTTGAATGGACTTCCGACATGTCTTATTTGTAAGGAGAAATTCGCGCATAACAAGAAGTCAAATTTAGAGAGACACTTTACAAGAAAGCACGCGTCATTTAGCACTTTAAATATCCTACCGGTGATGCAAGGAAGAAAGCAGTTGAGGAACTTCAAAAGAGTAAAGAGTCGTCAACTTCTGTGTTTAATAACTGGATGCAATCTTCCAGCAATATTAATATGGCAAGTTTTGTTTGTAGCCAAGAGATTGCTAAGAGAGGAAAACCGTACACAGACGGCGAATACATAAAAAATTGTTTTATAAATGCATCCGAAGATCTATTTTGGGATTTTAAGAACAAAGCAGATATTATGAAAAGAATTAAAGAGTTACCATTGTCTGCCCAAACCATTAAAGATAGAACAATTAAAATGTGTTCGAATATAACCACCCAGCATATCGAAAATTTGAAATTGGTTTCGGCTTTATCAATAGCAGTTGACGAGTCTTGTGACATAAATGTGACAGCGCAAGTGTCACTTTTTGTAAGATTTATGTCTCATTCAGGCCCTAAATAAGAACTTTTAAGGATTATTGCCACTCAAAAAGGTCAGACGAGTGGAGAAGATATCGCCAATGCTGTAATTGAGTGTTATGGATAAACATCACATTCCGCTCGATAAAATTGTGTCGATTTCAACAGATGGGGCCAAAAGTATGAACGGCGTAAGAAAAGGAGTTTCTTGATATTTTGAAAGAAAAAATTAATCACGAGATACTTGTTTACCATCGTATCATTCACCAAGAAGCGCTTTATGCGCAAACATTTCCGGAAGAAATTTGTGAATTAATTGAAATTTGTGAATTTTGGAATTAGTGATTACCATTATCAACTCCATTTTAGCTAAGGCTCTTAATCATCGCCAATTCAAAGAATTTTTATTTGTGTGTGTGTGTTCAAAGACAAAGACGTTCGAATTTAGAGCGAATGTGATTATGGCGTGAGTATTCGTAAGTGAACGTATATGATTATGGCAAAGCCTCGAGGGCTATCTGCCTAAGGGAAGAGATGCCTTCTTGGAGGACTTTCTAAGGGAAACTGGCTCGTATACACGTTACACATGGGGAAAGCCACGAAAACTCCCATTCAGCCAGCCCGTTCGCGGGATTCGAACCTCGGACCGAACTACCAGTGTTCCGCGACTTTACCGCTCGGCCGCTGGTGGGCCGAATTTTTATTTGAAATGGAGAGTGAGTATGATGATCTTCTGCTTCATAACAAGGTACGTTGGTTATTAAGAGGGAACGTTTTAAAACGTTTCGTGTCCCTTTTTCCGGAAATAAAGCATTTCTCCTTGAGAAGGGAGTTCACTATCCAGAACTAACAGACGATGAGTGGATCCAAAACTTTCATTTCATGGTAGACGTTACGTCTCTTCTAATTAATCAACTTAATCGTAAACTGCAAGGGAAAGCAAACTTAAATTTTTTCGATGTTGAAGACGTTATAACATTCGAAAACAAATTACCCATTTTTGCACAGGATTTTGAAAGCAGAACATTGTTTCACTTTCCGAGCCTGCTTGAAGCATCGCCAAGAAAATAATTCCTCTATTGATGTTGATGTATTTAATTATGGCAAAGCCTCAAGGGCTATCTGCCTAAGGGGAGGGATGCCTTCGTGGAGGACTTTCTAAGGGAAACTGGCTCGTATACACGTTACACATGGGGAAAACCACGAAAACACCCATGCAGCCAGCCCGTTCGCGGGATTCGAACCTCGGACCGAACTACCAGTATTCAGCGACTTTACCGCTCGGCCGCTGGTGGGCCCAAAATTCCTCTATTGATAAATACCATTTTAAAACAATAATTTTAAATATGAGGGAAGCATTACTCAGCAGGTTTCAAGAATTTAAAAACAACAGGGCAACTTTAGTATTTGTCAAAAATCCTCTTAATGCTACGATAACAGAGTTGAAATTTTCTCCTTTTGAAATTGACATTGGTAGCTTTGAAATACAATTGCTGGATTTAAAAAACAAGGAGATATGGCGCTCTAAATTCGAACGTCTTTGTGTTGAATTGGAAATATTGGAGAAGAAAAAATGTGATCTTAGTTCACAACACAAGTGGTCTGCTTTGAATGACCTGGAGAAGGAAGACATGATCATTTTCAACGCTTGGAATAGTATTCCTGACTCTTACGATCAGCTGAAAAAGCTCGCGTTTGCTGTTCTTTCCCTTTTAGGTTCTACATATATATGCGAACAATCTTTTTCAAGCATGAACATTATCAAGAGTAAACTGAGAAGTCGTCTTATTGATGAGAACTTGGAATCAAGCCTAAAATTAAAAACAACAACATACAAACCTGACTTACTCAAACTTTCGGAGGAGATGCAAGCACATGGTTCGCATTAATAAATATTTATTAAGTATTAAATTTAGTTTTATTTAGTGTAATAAAAGTTTACTAAACAAGTAGATTTGGCTCTAATTTTTTTTAAAAATTGTTGTAATGCTCATATTTGGCTCTTTGGCTAATACGTTTGCCGACCACTCTTTTAGAGAAAGATAAATATTTTAACGCTACGCTGCTCATTTGCTGCTCATTGCTGCTCAACATTTTATTCATAAACACAACTGTAATCACATTATAGCAGGATATAAAGTAACGTATCTTAAATAAGTATTAGTTTCAGCGAAACTAATACTGAACTAATACTTAATTTCAGCGAAACTTCAAAGCG